CTGAGGACGTGGAGTAGGTGGGAGGAGGTTCAGAAGGAGCCTGAGGCGTGGTCAAGGCAAAGACGGTGGGGTCCCGTCCCCTGGGTCTCACCATGAGGTCGAAGGGCATGGCGGGCTTGAAGAACGTGGGTGTCTTGGTGAAGTGGATCTTGAAAGGGGAGGTCACGATGGGGATCCCAGTGCGCTCAGCCTCCACCATGTCGCTGCCTGAGGGAGGCCGGCTGTGAGAAGCAGGCCTCCGCTCTCACACTGGGCCATTCCTTCCCACGAGGCCTGGCCTCTCAGCCTAGCTTCCACCCTCCTCCGACAGCGCCTCCCGCCCCGGCAGAGCCTCACCGGACTGCAGGAGGACGGTTGCCGACACGTACAGTGACTTCCCCACCAGGGCCTCGGGCCGAGCGAGCTCCACCCCGTCCAGCAGCACCTGTCGCTTGAGAGTGGCCTCACCGTGGCCGTCCACGATCTGGGGGAGTGGGGCGACAGGGGGAACTCAGAACAGGAGGAAGTGGGGTGAGGCAGGAGGAGCAGAGGGGCCAGACAGGGGGGTCCCGGCAGGTACCTCAACGCGGGTGAGGGAATGGGCCAGTGAAATCCTCTGGTCTTCATCCTGAACCCCAAAGATGACGAAGGCGGTTCCATCCACATTCTTCCCATACAGGAACCTGCGAGGTCCATTGAAAGCACATCAGAGACCCGCCTCCTAGCCCTGGTCCCTTGCCATCCGTTTACTTGGGGAACCCAGCCTCTCCTGCCCCTCCCCTAGGCCCTCACCTGGCCATGATGGTGACCTGCAGACCCTGCGGCTCATCGATGTAGTAGAATTCCTCCACGGGCTCCAAGATGACCTCGAAACTGGGCAGCACTGCGGTGACAGACACCCAGACACCGTGCGTGGGGCCCAGCCATTCAGGTGCTCCCGCCTCGCCACCTCACCATCTTGCCACCTCGCTTCCCCATGGCTGACCCTGTCCTTACCATACTCCTTCACCTCGAACTCAGCTGAGAAGACTTGCTGTGGTGAGTGCTCATAGAAGGCCCGGATCTTCCACTGTCCCATGCTGCAGGGATGGGACACAGGGGTGGTACCCATCTCCATCCCTGAGCCCCTCCTGTGAAGGGGTTGTCCTGCCCACCCCTCTCCCTCCCCACCAACTGGAGGGTCTGGCATACTTGACCAGCTCCGGAATGGGCCAGGACAAGGGCAAGATTCCATGCTGGTTGTGCGAGGACAAGGTGGAGCGCTTGACGGCGACGCCTTCAGGGTTCTGCCAGGAGACAGGTGGTGTGTGTGTGTGTGAGAGAGAGGGGCTCTCTAGAACCCCTAGGCTCCCCCTGCCTGACACCTCTGTGGGACTAGGGGCAAAGGGCATGGGTATAGTTTGTAGGCGGTGTGGTCCTGGGCAAGTTGTTTAACCTCTTGGCGCTCACTGCAGCCAAGAAAACAAAACCCTGAGCCTTGGGACCCTGCACCTGCATGGGAGACCTGGAAGAGGCTCCTGGCTTTGGATCGACTCAGCTCTGGCAATTGTGGCCATTTAGGGAGTGAACCAGTGGGTAGAACATCTGTCTTTTTAATAAATAGAGAAATCTTTTTAAAAAATCCGCTCTCCCAGCTTTCCTGGGACAATGTGGAGTGTAGCCACTGGGCCATCCACTCAGGCTGCAACATCAGGTGACATGCGGACAAGAACTGGGCCTGACTGTGCCCTGCGTGAAGTGTGGCCCACTGTCCTCTTGGCAGGAAGGGGTGTCAGCTCCCGGGTACTGCCAGCAAGCAGGCCAGGCCGTGTGGGGGTTTGAGCGCTTTTCTGAGAAGTAGAGACAGCATATGCAAAGGCCCTGGGCTTTGGCTGGGCCAGGTGGGGCTGGACGTGAGGGTTGGGAATGCTGTGGGCCTTTTAGGCCAAAGAAGATGGGCGCCCTTGGAGGGGTGGAGATGGCGCTCGCATCCGTCCCTCTCAATGTGCTCTGCCTGTGGCCTGGGCCAGCCGTACCTCGATGGTGATGATCACCGTCCGGCCTACGGGCAGCAGGTTGTGGTCCACGGTGAAGACCCGGTAGAGGACTGTAGGGTAGGGTAGGGAGTGGACAGAGAGACAGGGTGAGCCCCTGGGTGAGCTCCACCCCGTGCAGCGTCACTCACATGCAGGGCTTCGCTGGGCCCTTGCCTTGATTAGCCCACGCATGCGCAATCTCGCTGGCCTCGATGGCCTGATGCACTGAGCGCATGCGTGGTCTTAGTCAAGCCTGGCTGTGCCGGCAGTGACCTTGCGCATGCGCGCTCGTGCTGTCTCCTCGAGCCTCTCCTCGGGCACGTGCAGGGCATCGCCTGAGGCGCATGCGCCACACGTGTCAGCTCGCTGGCCTGAGGTGCCGGGCGCGCACGTGCAGCAGGCTGGGGCCTCGGTGGGAGCGTTGTGCGCGTGCGCAGTCATGCTGGGCCATCCCCCTCAGCGCCCTGCGCGTGCGCAGTCTGCCGGGCCCCCTAACCCCCCTCAGCGCCTTGCGCGTGCGCAGTCTGCCGGGCCCCCTAACCCCTCAGCGCCTTGCGCGTGCGCAGTCTGTCTGGCGCGCACCTGAGGAGCCGGGCGTGTAGATGGTCTTGTCGGTCTGCACGAAGAGGTAGCCATTGTGCAGGCTGAGCAGCACGGCCTTCTCCACCGTCGTCGTGCCCGCGAACACCGCCAGCACCGTCAGGTACTTGGGACCACTGCCTGGCTTGAGGTCCTTGTTGCTGGGGATCTGGGTGGGGAGACGACGTCCGCGCTGGGCTGCAGGGCTCCCCGAAACCCCGCAGGACCCCCAGACCACAGACCCCCCAAACCCCACAGGGCCCCCAAACCCCTCAAGGACCCCAGACCCCACAGACCCCCTAAACCCTGCAGGCCCCAAGCCCCAAAATCTGCCCTGAACTCCACGGGCCGGGCCGTCTGAACCTCTCCATCTCCCAGGAGCTTGGAGTGGGAGGAGCCTCCAAGGGGAGGAGCCTGTAAGGGCGGAGACTCACAGGGAGGGACAGGACTCGGGGAGGGGCTTGGAGTGGGAGGAGTCTCAGATGGGAGGAGCTTGTTAGGGTGGAGACTCACAGGGAGGGGCAGGACTCAGGGGGAGGGGCCTGGAGTGGGAGGAGTGTGAGGGGAGGAGCTTGGAGGAGGAGGCGGAGACTCAGAGGGGTCTGGCTTAGCCATCAGCCCACCCTGCTCCAGTCAGCGCCCACCTTGAAGGTGACGTTGCCCAGGTAACCAGTGGCCCTGGTCAGCACCAGCTTCTCACTGAACAGCACTTGCTTCTTGGCCGGGAAGTCGTGGATGGTGACAGAGACCGGGGTGTCCGCCGCCACATCGTGGGCCTCCAGCACCACAGTCTCGTCGCTTTCCAGGCGGATGATGTTGGGTGTGATGATGGAGTACCTGGGGGAGGGGATCCAGGAACGGGGTGAACCCCAGGGCAGAGGGCTCCAGGCCTCTCCTGAGTGGGCCACTGGGCAAGCCCCCCCTGCACTTCCCTACAGCCAGGCTGCTGTGCCCCTCACGCTGGTCCTGGAGGGGGTCCAGTGAGTGCCCGGGGTGCCTGCCAACCCAGTGTCCAGATCCTGGATCCCTGGACACTGCCATGTCCTCACCATGCCACCCCAGCCCCTTCAGCCGTCGGGGCGTGGCATCTGAGAGCTGGGACCCCTAAGGCTGCAGGTCCCAGCAGCCCCTCTAATCCACCTACACCCAGGGCTCCAGACGTGTCCACCTCAACAGTCCCTGGAACCCCAAACTCACAAGCACCCCGACCCTTAAAGACTTGAGTGAGTCCACTATAGACTTGAGTCCTCTACCACTCCAGTCTCACAAACACAGCCAAGAGCCAACGCCCCGACCCCGCACACAGCCAAGACCCTGTACCCCCAACACACAAAACCCTTAAGGCTTGAGATTACCCCCACTCCTGCTACACCATCGCTCAGTACCCCCACCCTGTTGCAGTACCCACACCCTGCACATGCCCAGGAGCCACAGGCAGCTGTAGGTACAAACTGTATATTCAGCCTGAGCTTAGGAACACTTCAGTACAGCCCACGTTCTCCAGGGGCCTGGTTCCACGCACACATCTACCCCCACCCCCCGTAAACAGCCATGAGCACTCACATGGGATCTCCCAGGACCAGGGGGAGACTGGTCAGCAGCAACAACACCAAGCCGGGGCCCAAGGCGGCTCCCATGATGCAGGAACGGTGGAGGGGCCCGGGGTGGAGGGACAAAGGGACAGGCTGGGGAGGACTGGGCAGGAGCTGCTGGAGCCTGCCTTTTATGCAGCTGTCGTCCTCCCCTCTCCCTGCAGTCTGTCCACTGTCCAGGACTGCCCCAGATTTCTCAATCCCTGGGGCTAGCATGTGGAGGAGGTGAGGAACCAGAGGGCATGACCCTGCTGTGACTGGAGCGGGCTGCCCTTTGCCCTGGCCCGTGTCAGCTCCAGGGCCAGCCCTGAACCTGAAGCCTGGACGTATTTACTCTGGATCAGGGACGCCCCAACATCTGCAGAGTCCATGACCCACCCCAGTGTCCACTTTCAGCCATGCATTTGTTCATTCAACAGAGTTCATCTCTGTTCTGGAAGCTCAGAAACTTCCAGAAGTTTCCATGCAGAGGGAGAGGCAATTTAGGACGGGAGGAACGGAGCCCATGGTGGCCTGCTTGCATCAGGGCTAGCGTGTAAGCACATGTGGGGCTGTTTGCTCTCCTAGCCAGCTCGCGTCCGGGGAGCTGGGAGCTGGAGCTCGCATCTGGGGAACTGGAGCTGGAGCTGGGAGCTCCCACTTGCCCTTCTGTGTTGGACTGTCTTAGTGACTGGTGCCTTGAAACATTCACCAACTGAGTCCTTGGGCCCCCCTGCATGGTGGGTGTCGAGTCCATGAGCCCCAGGATTGGGGGTCCAGTAGGACCCAGGTCGCCTGGCCCAGGTTCTTTGGCCCACCTGTGTGGTGGGTGCTGGATCCACGAGCCCCAGGGGTTGGGGCACCCGGAGGAGCCTGGGTCCCCTGATCCAGGTCATCGAGTCCGGCTGCATGGTGGGAGTCTGCAGAGGTCAGCTGGTACCATAGTCGGGAATGGAGAACAGAGCATACGGACAACTACCCCAGCCAAGCGGTGACATCGAACACCTGGGCGGACGGAGAGACTCTGAGGTGGACCGCGTCCTCAGGATCGACAGCGTTTCACAGCTGCCCTGTCCCCCTGGGCAGAGAACCCTCAGAGCAGGTGTCACCCTGTGACCCTGGATTGATAGCAGGAAGCCATTTGCCATCCCTGGGTGCTGGGGGGTGGGGGTGGGGGCTGTGTGCGGTGCCTCCTCTTATCTCCCCACAGAAATGGGAAGAAGAGATACAAAGTTTGCAAACAGTGGTCACACCCATTTCTCCCTAAGCCTGGATCCCTCCCACCCTGATGGACTGTGTAAACACTCCCGCAAACAGGAAACTGCTGACTCGCAGCGTTTGTATTCCGCGGACATCCTCCTAGCGCACTGCGCTGGTTGGTGGCCACATGTTTGGGCCGGGGAGGGGAAGGGAGGGGAGGGGAGTGGTTGCTATCATGTCCAGATGAGGTGGTCTCTCTTTGCTGCAGAGTTACAGAGAGATCTTCCACCTGCTAGTTCACTTCCTGAGTGGCTGCAACAGCCCCAGCTGGACCAGGCTGCAGCCAGGAGCCAGGAGCTGTAGGAGCTGCATCTGGGTCTCCTGCACCTGGCCCGTCCTCTGCTGCCTTCCCAGCTGCACAGGCAGGGAGCTGGATGGGAAGTGGAGCAGCCGGGACTTGAACCGGTGCCCCCATGGGAAGCTGGAGTTGAAGGCGGCAGACCTTCAACCCTAACACTCCACACCACAGCACCGGCACTACCCTGTATGTCACACCGACACGGACACACCCTGTGTGCCCTCTGCCAGGCCTCACTGGGCTGTAAGAGCAGCCAGTCTACAGGGGCTTCCCCCAATGGGACAGCCACGGCTTCCTGCTCCCCGCCGGGGGAAGAACCAGCCAGCCCATGGACGCGGGTCTGTGGCTTCCAGCCCTGGGCTCGGGTCTCTCCGTGGGAAAGTGAGACCACAATCACGCCCGCTTTGTCTTTCTTTTTTTTTTTTTTACAGGCGTGCCCCTGTGGCAGTGGGAGGCAGGAATGTCCCAGTCCTCCGCACGTGGGGCTGGGATGGATTCACACAGCGCTCACCGCTCACCGCACTGCAGGAAATTAAGCGCCACTCCCCCCCGCGGGTGGAAACGGCTAACTCCGTGGCATTTTCTCTGACGTTCCCCCAGCTCCCCCGACGGGGCTGTCCCCACCTAGGGCGTGAGCAGGAGGAAGTGGAAACCGAGCCCCCTACTCGGTGCCGAGAAGGCAGACGCGAGCTGCGGTCCATCTCCTGGTTTCCCCAAACGTGTCCTGGGACAGCGAATCCACCTCTTTAGACGGGCAGCTTCTGGCGCGTGGCACAGCCGACCCTCCCAGGCTGGTGGCAGTGAACCCCTGAGGCCACGAGTCTCCGACAGAAAGACGCCCCATCTGGTCTCCTGGAATGTCATTAGCAGGACCCCCAGGTCCCTGATTCGGGGACAGCCACAGGGCCATCACCACATTTCCCTAGAGGACAGGACCGGGCCACCAGTCAAGGAGAAACCAGCCCCCAACTCCACGCCCTAAGGACCTGCACCCTGAGCCCTCGGGTGGGTGGGCGGGGGTGCCTGAGAATCGGGGTGCTGGCAGCCAGGACCCCTGGCTGTGTGCTTTGCAGAAAACAAACCCCCTCCCGCCCCCTGCCCAGCCGTGTGATGGCAGCGAGCCGACCCAGAGCTGAGGGCGGCCTAGCTGGCCACGCCACACCCCGTGGCTGGTTCTGATGGCACCGAACACTGCCTGTCTGGGACGGTGCCCAACTTGGTTGTTTGCGATTTCCTGTAAATCACGCTGCCTTCCTGGTGTGCCCAAGTAACACTGGCCTCTCTGCCTGCTTTGATTTCGACAGCCTTCAGAGGAAGAGGAGGCGGGGGTGGGGTCAGTGCTCGCTTGTTCCTCAGAAGTGGGGTTCCACGTGGACAGAGCCTCCAGCTGGGCCCTGGGACTTCCTCAGTTCCTCCCCCCGCGCCCCCATCCCGCACCCAGGCCACCAGGGCTCCTGCAGTTTTGCAGTGTCAGGTGGCTCGGCTGTCCGCCTTCTGCTGCAGGAAAGCATCTTACACTCCGGGGTGGTGGGGGGTGGGAGCCTCAGTGGCCTGATCTGAGCAATGGGGACAAGGACAGAGGGCATCTTGGTTCACACAGGTGCTGGGCTGGCCTCCAGGAAGTGACCAGGCAGGCAGGGACTGGGAGGGGAATCTGGGGGAAGGGAATCTGGGGGCGGGGTAGGGCAGAGAATGGGGCAGGCTTTGATTCCCAACCACCACAGGACTTCTCCCTCGGAGAAGTACATTTCTGGTTTGTTTTAAAGATTTATTTTAGGGGCCTGAGTAGTGTCATCCTATATGGGCACTGGTTTGTAGCGCGGCTGCTCCATTTCCCATCCAGCTCCCTGCCTGTGGCCTGGGAAACCTTCCACCCACTGGTTCATTCCTCAAGTGGCTACAATGGCCTTTGGAGCTGAACTGATCCGAAGCCAGGAGCCTCTTCCGGGTCTCCCACGCGGGTGCAGGGTCCCAAGGCTGTGGGCCGTCCTCCACTGCTTTCCCAGGCCACAGGCAGGGAGCTGGATGGGAAGTGGAGCAGTTGGGACACGAACTGATGTCCCTCTGGGATCCCGGCGCTTGAGGATGGAGGGTTAGCCAGTTGAGCCATTGCCCTGCAGCCTGCGTTTGCTGTTTCTTGGGCATGCTGGAGGGCAGGAGGGTGCGAGAGGGGTGGAAGTGGGCGCAGGCTACCCACCCCACGCTCTCTATTTCCCGGATGAGTACAGCTCCCTCAGCCTTCCCCCCCGAATTCTCTCCAGGCCCCACAGCCAGCCCCATTACTCATTAACCAGCAGGTAACCTTGACCTGGATGGACCAGCCTTCCCTGTGGCCCTGGCTCCTCCCCTGCAGCCCCCAGCAGGGTCATCAGGAGGGGCTGGGCCGCCCAGGCACTGGCTCGATGGTGTTGTCCCTCAGTGATGCCCCCGCCAGGCTGCCAGGCCACACTGCTGCCCCCTCTTCGCTGGGGACAGGCCACGCTGCACTGTCCAGGCTCACCCTTCTCCCATGCGGCCACCTCTGCCCTTCCCTACGCTCCATGTCCTCCCGCTGACCAGCTGAAGCCTCCTTCTAGAATCTGCCTGCCTTCGGACCCGGGCATCTGGCCTACGGCCAGCATGACCAGTCCGGGTGCTCACCTCTCACGCTGGGGTGCCTGGGTTCGATTCTCAGCGCTGCCTCCCGACTCCAGCTGCCTGCTGATGGCCACCCTGGGGTCACCTGAGTCCTTGCCCCTTATAGAAGGGGCCTGGACGGCGCTCCCGCCCTCACCCTCGGTAGTGAGGGTGTCTGGGGGAAACGGACTGGAGCTGTCTTCATGTCTCAGATAACAAAAAGAAAACCCACAAGACCCTTTGACAAAAAAAAGACACTGAAAAACATTTATTCGAAAGATAGAGTTACAGAGAAAGAGGCGGTGGGTGGCAAGAGAGCTTCCACCTGCTGGTTCACTCCCCAGACGAGTGCAGCAGTAGTAGGGCTGGGCTGAAGCTGGGAGCTGGGTACCCCATCTGGGTCTCGCACATGGGGGTTAAGGGTTGGTCTGCACAAGCCACGGCCTATTACCCCACCAGGGTCAGCGGCAGGCTGGAGCTGGGAGTGGAGCCCTGAGCACACAGACATGGGACTTGGGGTCTCGGTGGGCAGGCCAAGTGCCCTACCCTGTGCCTCCTCCCACCCGGCTAGTGCAGGACAAGCCCCACGCCTCCCTGAAGGACACAGACCTCGGGAATGGGACGCCTGCGTCTTCGTGGGGACCAGGTGGCTGTCCACCACAGCGCATGCGCACTGGAGAGGCCGCCAGGCCGTGGTGGCCCGGGTCCCTCCCGTCCTCCCACCGGCTCATTAGCCATGTTGCCCCTCCCCTGTGTGGCATGTGCTTCCCAGTGAGTTAATGTCCTGGGAGCCCTCCCTTTGGGCGTAAGCGCACTGTGGGCATGACATGCCAGCTAGCCACCAAACAGGGGCAGGCGCTGTGGCACCGCACACTCAACTATCAACAGCAGCCAGCCGCCCCAAGGGCCGCTCAGGTCCCAGCCGCTCTGCTGTCGAGGCATCTTTGAGGTGATAGATGAGGGGTACCCAGGGCCGTGGGCACCTGCCCCTCTTGTCGGGCACTTGGCTGGAGTGCCTGGCTTCAATCTGGCCAGTCTGGGCTGTTGTGACCACTTGGGGAGTGAACCAGTGGGTGGAAGATCTGTCTATTGCTCAGCCTTTTACATTCACAAGTCTTTTTTATTTTTGTTTTTCCTTAAGATTTATTATTTTTCTTGGAAAGTCAGGAGAGAAAGATCCTCCATCTGTTGATTCATTCCTCAAGTCACCACAATGGCCGGAGCTGAGCCAATCTGAAGCCGGGAGCCAGGAGCCTCTTCTGGGTCTCCCACGCGCAGGGTGCAGGGGTCCCAAGGCTTTGGGCCGTTCTCCACTGCTTTCCCAGGCCACAGGCAGGGAGCTGGATGGGAAGGGGGGCAGCCGGGACACGAACCGGTGCCCATGTGGGATGCCAGCACTGCCTACTGAGCCACCATGCCTGCCTCATATACGTAAGTCTAAAAAAGTTTGTGCAAAAACTATGGATTTTTTTGTTTGTAACAAAATAAGCTTAATCTTTTCCATTTCCTATCACCTTTTGAAGTCTTTTGCAATTACCTGGCCACTTCCTTTTCCTAGTCTCCGTTCGTCTTCCTCCTGGCACCCCGAGGGGCCCCAGTGATGAAACTGCCTGGGAACACGACCCCCTCCCTGGGGCAGGTGGCTGCTGGTCACTGCTGTGTCGCCAGCGGCCAGCATGGGATCCGAAGCTGCTCCATGAATATTTATTGAATGTGTAAAGCAATGGGCATCACGCCCCCACTGTAAACAGGACCCTGGGATGGCGAGACGGCGTGGCCCTTACTGCCCAGCGGGTTGTAGGGGGGTGTGGTCCCAGAGGGAGGGCCCGGCTGCCCAGACCCGGGCACGGAGCTCAGGGCCTGTCTGGCTGCCCCAATGGCCCACGGCGGCAGGGCGGCAGACGGAGGAAGAGGAGCGTGGTCAGGTCAGAGACACGGAGCCGGTCAGGACACCTCCCGTCCGCTGCTGGTCTGGTTGACTTTGGAGAGGCCTTCCCGGAACCCGGAGTCGGTCATCCTGGGGCACACGGGGCACGCGGGGCTGTCCTTGAGCTCTAGGACAGCTGGCTGCAGCCACCCCAGCTCCAACCCTGGGCAGCCCGGGCCCCTGCCCTACGGGGGCCTCGCCTCCACCCTGGTTCCACACCCAGGAGCCCTGCCCTATGGGGGTCTCACCTCTACCCCGTTCCACACCCAGGAGCCCTGCTCCCAGGGCGGCCCGGCCAACTGCAGCTCCCCAATCTGTCTTCACAGCAGAGGCCCCAGCCCGACTGGACCCGTCTCTACTCCACAAAGGACCCCAGCCCACTGGACCCCACATAGAGTGGGATAACACCCCCTCCACCAGACCCCACTCAGAGCTGCCTGGCCCCGCCCACCTCCAGCCACGCCCACACAGGCCTGTCTGGCTCCGCCCACCCTTCCAGGCCCCGCCCCGGGGCTCACACTTGGTCCATCTGCACATCTTCCTCGTCATCCTGGGGCAGCTGCAGGTACGGGTTGTTTCCCGCAGGCTGGAACTTGTAGCCGGTGAGCACGAAGAAGGCCAGCGTGGAGCTCTCCACCAGGAGCTGGGAGACGGGGCCGGGCGGTCAGTGGAGTGGGGCAGTGAGGAGCGCACCCCGCTGCCTGCCCCGGGCCTCCCCTCCAGGGCTCACCTGGTACAGCCACTGCCACTGGAAGGGCACGGCCACTCGCAGCAGGATGGCGATGATGCGCGTGAAATAGATGTAGCAGATGACCTGAGGGGAGGCCGGGAAGGTGGGGCACACAGGGAGACGGGACGCTGGGCAGACAGGGCGCTGGGGAGATGGGGCACCTGGGGGTGCTGGCTGTCCTCCCCTCCCCGTGCCCCTTGAGAGGGTCAGCAAACTCCTACCATGACGTAGTAATGTCGGAACAGCTTCAGTTTGGCCAAGTTCACTGCCACTGGGGGGAGACAGAGACAGAGGGGTCACTGAGAGCCAGTGGACAGGGTGGACCCAAGGACAGGGCCTCTGGAGAGGGTGGGGGCACAGGACAGACGCAGGGGTCCTCAGCGGCCGGCCAGGTGGGCTTCCAATGGCCGGTGCAGACAAGGAGCCAGGCTCACCCTTCCCGTCGGTGCCGGACGCGTCCTGGAGGTGCCGGATGGACCTGGGATGGGGCAGGCAGGGGGGCGCGATCAGGGCAGATCCTGCCCTGCTTGCCACAGGGGCCGAGCCAGGCCAACTCCACCCTGCACCTCAGGATTGGGGTCGGGGAGTGCGGGCAGGGGGCCCTTACCACACCACGGGGAAGAGGATGGCTCCGCAGCACACGAGGTCCACCAGGAACAGGATCTGTTTCCAGAGCCCGTAGTCGCTGGCGCCCTCCTCGCGGGACTCCAGGACAATGTAGGCCACATTGGCCAGGACCTGCGAGGGGGGCGGTGGGCAGCGTGGGTGGGCGCCCCACTCGCAGCCACACCCGCACCCCATCTCCCTTGGCACACCCCGCTCCCGCCTCCTGCACCTGCAGGGGAATCACGATGCCGAAAATTTTCTTCTCCTTATCCGACAAGACGTACTTGACGAAGGCCCAGCCGGAGCCGATGAGGGCGATGGTGATGAAGAGGAGCGTGCCCTTGAGCCTGGGGGTGGGGAGGGCTGAGTGGGGGCCCAGCCCTCTCCTCCCCTCCCCCCACCCCGTGCCAGGCCCACGCCGGGCACTCACAGGCGCGTGATGTAGTGCATGACGGCGAGTCCTTCCATGGGGTGGCCCTGGCTGTTGATGAAGTAATAGTTGATCTGCCGGAGGGACACGGGAGGGGGGTGACAGCTCAGGGGCAGGGTCGGGGTGGGGGGCGGCCAGAAGGGTCAGCTGCTGGTTGGGGGAGTGGTGTGTGGGTGGGGGGGAGAGACAGGGGTACAGCTGCCCATGAGGAGGGGCACGGGGCTGCAGCTCGGGGTCTGCTGATTTGGGGGGTCGGGGGAGGGCCCCGGCACTCACGCTGTGGAAGAGCAGGGCGATGCTCTTGGTGAAGGCCAGGGCCGCCATGAGCCAGTGGATCTTGAAGACGTTGTACCTGGCAGGTGGGAGGAGAAGGGGACGCTGGGGTCTGCGGGGCCTGGGCCGGGTGAGGATCTCGGGGAGGGGTGGTCTGGCGAGGGGCAGAGGAGGGGACAAGGCCATTATTACGGGTTCCGGCAGAGGACCGACACCCAGAAGACGCCGGCGGCCAGGAAGCAGGTGGACATGACCAGGTAGAGCTTGAAAAGCGGGATCTCCGCCGCCGACAGGAAGCCCTCCGGGTTTCTCTCACGGATCATCACCTGGGGAGGAGCCCGGGGTCAGGCGGCCACGCCGGGTGGGTTCTGGCTCCCTGGCGGGGCAGGCTGCTCCTAGGGGCCGCCCACCTGGGGTACCTCGGCATGCCTGAACCTGTGCACACCCCCCCACCCCTCGGCTGCCCAGTCAGCCCAGCGGTTACGCTGCGTGTGACTCAAGGCACGGTGTGGGGAGACGTGTTCAGTGTGGAAGCAGCACACCCATGCCACCCCACATCCACCTGAGCTGCCCCGCCCCTCAGCAAGCCCCACCCACCGCAGCCTGCTCCTGCCCCACCCCTGCTCCTGCTCCTGCCCCTGCCCTCGGTCACCGAGAGGTCGAATGGACGCTCCTGTCCTGGTATGGAGTTGTAGCAGTTGTGGAAGTTGAGGTTGTACTGGCCTTCCTCCTCCGCGGAACCGATCAGCACGTGGAACTGGGGGGTGGGAGAGGGGGCATCAGCCTGGGGGTTGGGGTGCCAGAGGAGCAGGTGGGGGCATCTCAACCTGGGGGGGGTAGAGTACCAGAGGAGGGGGTGGGTTGGGGGGGTCTCAGCCTGAGGGACAAGGTGCCAGGGAGGGGGTTGGGGTCTTAGCCTGGGTAGCAGGGTGCCAGGGAAGGGGGTTGGGGTCTCAGCCTGAGGGACAAGGTGCCAGGGAGGGGGTTGGGGTCTCAGCCTGGGATGGGACACCAGGGAAGGGGGTTGGGGTCTCAGCCTGGGATGGGATGCCAGGGGAGCGTGTTGCGGGGGTCTCAGCCTGGGGTGTGGGCAGTGTGCCAGGCGAGGGGGCCGGGGTGCCGCAAACGCTCACACTGAAGTTGTAGGTGTTGTTAAGGTGGCCCAGGTCCAGCACCAGCTCCTGGTCCTTGACGGGGGGAGCCTGGGGGGACGGAGCGTGGTGAGCCCCTACACACTCTTGGCGGGGGGACAGTCCTCCCTCTGTCCTTCCCTCCCTCCTGCCGCCCCCAAACCTGAGCATCTGCAGGCTTTGACGTGGCCACGCTGGGCACTGTGGGCAACAGGAAGACAGGGTTTTAAGAGCGGGACAGCGGGGAGGTGGGGCGCCCTGCTGGCGTGGCCTGCCCTGACTCACCGGGGACTGACTCTGGCTTGGGGAGCCCCAGCCTGGAGGGCACGTCAGGCAGGAGCCCGGGAGAGATGAATAATTTGTTCTGTTCCCCATACTTCCGCACCTGCACCCTGGGGAAGGGGTGGGGAGAGGGCTGAGTGACGGGCTCCCGGGCACCCGGAGCGGCCCCTCCCAGAGCGGTCCATGCCGGCCCGCCCGAGCCCCTCTGGCCCCCAACCCACCTGAGGTCCTTGATGTTGATAAGGAACAAGACCAGGAAACTGCTACTATTTCTTAGGAGAACACACTCGTGGGAGTCCCGGGTCTGCGGGGAGGGGGTGGGTGGGCGATTGGGGGGTTGTGCCCCCGTTATCCTCTCCCTCCTTCCCACCAGGCTCACTTCATGTACCCGCCACCCGCCCCCCAACCGACTCACGGAGTAGGAGCGCACGCTGCCAGAGTGAACTCGGTTCAGACTGAACCCCACCTGGGGGGCAGAAAGAAGAGGGGGGAGTGTGTAGGGGGCCCCCATCTGTCAGCAGCCACACACATCACGACTTCTAGAAGAGTTGAGATGCCACTCCTCTGGATTTTCCAAGCCGCCTGCCCGCCACGTTTCAACCCATGCCTCCATATGCGTGCAAGCATATGCACGCGTGTCGGGGTGCGAGTTGTGCTGGGGTGTGCATGATGAAGTGTATGAGTGTGTGTGTGTGTGTGAGGGCGCCCGCTGCCTCCCCCTCCTCCCCTCCGGCAGCTCCTCACCAGGGGAGCCTTCTCCGGGGGCTCCAGGGGGCCCAGCCGCAGCAGGCTCAGCTCCACCTCCAGGGAGCCGTTGGCATAGAAGCCGAAGCTGTTGAGCGGGATGTCTGCTCGCTTCTCCCCCTGCCGGGGACCAAGCAGGTGGCTCAGCCGCGGGGCGCTGGCACCCAGCACCCCAGGAGTCCTCCCCAGGGCCCTCTACAATCCAACACAGGTGGCACAGAGTGTCCGGGGAGGCCGAGCGGGTAGCCCCAGGAGGGAAGGGGTGGCCATGGGGAGACACCAATCCCAGTTCTCAGGAGGGCAATCCTGGGGTGCTGCTGGGAGGTTCCCCCCAGACACACACACACACACACACATCCAGGCTGGGTTTCATCTCCCAGAAAACCTCTGGCTGCTAAAGCCGAGCCCTGACCCCATGATCCCCATGAGCGTCCAGGGAATCCCCTGAGTGATGCCAGGGCCACCCTACAAGCCTTTGAGGGGGTCCCCGTAAAGGTGCCCGGCCGGGCAGCTGCACCAGTGGACAGGAGGTGAGGAGGTGGTTGGGAGTCCTGGTGAAGGTGCCTGCTGGCCTGGCAGCTGCACCCGGGCGATGGTCAGGAGGTGAGGGGGTCCCCGTGCAGGTGCCCAGCAGGGCGGACAGCTGCACCCAGTGGACAGGAGGTGAGGGGGGTCCTGTGGAGGTGCACCCAGTGGTCAAGAGGCGAGGGGGTGATTGGGAGTCCCCGTGCAGATGCCCAGCAGGGCGGACAGCTGCACCCAGTGGACAGGAGGTGAGGGGGTCCCCGTGCAGGTGTCCAGCAGGGCGGACAGCTGCACCCGGTGGTCAGGAGGTGAGGGGGTCGTGGGGGAGTCCCCGTGGAGGTGCCCGCTGGCCGGCTCGCTGCACCCGGTGGTCAGGAGGTGAGGGGGTCCCCGTGGAGGTGCCCACTGGCCTGGCAGCTGCACCCGGTGGTCAGGAGGTGAGGGGGTCCCCGTGGAGGTGCCCAGCAGGGCGGACAGCTGCACCCAGTGGACAGGAGGTGAGGGGGGTCCCGTGGAGGTGCACCCAGTGGACAGGAGGTGAGGGGGTCCCCGTGGAGGTGCCCACTGGCCTGGCAGCTGCACGCAGTGGTCAGGAGGTGAGGGGGGTCCCCGTGGAGGTGCACCCAGTGGACAGGAGGTGAGGGGGTCCCCGTGGAGGTGCCCGCTGGCCGGCTCGCTGCACCCGGTGGTCAGGAGGTGGGGGGGTCCCCGTGGAGGTGCCCACTGGCCTGGCAGCTGCACCCGGTGGTCAGGAGGTGAGGGGGCCGTGGGGGGGGTCCCCGTGGAGGTGCCCGCTGGCCGGCCCGCTGCACCCGGTGGTCAGGAGGTGGGGGGTGTCCCCGTGGAGGTGCCCGCTGGCCGGCCCGCTGCACCCGGTGGTCAGGAGGTGAGGGGGGTCCCGTGGAGGTGCACCCGGTGGTCAGGAGGTGAGGGGGTCCCCGTGGAGGTCCCCGTGGCCGGCCCGCTGCACCCGGTGGTCAGCAGATCGCGTGTGCGGGGGGTGGACCTCGGACGCGACCACGCGGGGCTGGTCGTGGGGGGCGGCGCCGGGCCGCTCCATCCCGCCCCGGGAGCGGACGAGCCCACTGGAGCCAGGGGTCCTGTGGCGGGCGGGGGCTCACCGTCAGCGCCAGCCGGTGGATGCGCCCCGAGCAGCCGCCCAGCAGCAGCGGCAGCAGCAGCAGCGGCAGCGGCAGCGGCGGGAGGCCCGGCCCCCGACACCCGGAGGGACACCCGCCGCCGAGCCCCCTCCTCTCGCTCCCGGCCATCGCTGGAGCCGCCGCCTCCCCCTGACACCGCCCCCTGGGCGTCCGCCCCCGCGGGCGAGCCAATCACCACACGGAGGGGGCACCTGAGACCAATCGGTGAGCGCCTTTGCTCGGGGTGACAGCAGACGGACAGCCCGAGTGACGAATGGCAGTAGTCAGCCTCACTGAGTCCCGCCTCCACCGCCACCAATCACTACAAAGATGATCCCGGATATGGTTTGATAGACAGTCCTGCCAGCCTATCAGAGCGCACCTGCCATCCGGCTCGCGAAGCGGAATTCCTCTCTGGCAGCTTGTAACGGTCTAGGACTACATTTCCCACAATGCCATCACGGGCGACACGCCACGAAGGAACTACATTTCCCAGGATCCCCTTCTTCCCCGCCCCGGGGACCATGGGGGTCCCCCCCCAGTGCTTTTTTGTGGGGGACCCTCCGGTCTCGCTGCACCCCCAGGTCGTCCCCGAACACGGGGCGGCCCAAGCCTGGCCCCGGGATGACCTCTGACCTCAGGGGCTCCCCCCAGATCCCGAACCCCGAAATTCAGCCCCGAGAACTCCCTGACCCTCGGCTCGTTGAGGCGGAGCGCCTGAGGCCTCGGGTGCTGACATGGTGCACCGGGCCGCGGGGCCAGGCCGCAGGGGCCGCCCTCCTGCTCCCCGCCGGCCTCCCTGCGCCCCCCGCCGGCCTCCCTGCGCCCTCCGCCGGCCTCCCTGCGCCCCGAGGGGTGGGAGCTGCGGGGGTGCAGGGCGCACGCCTCCCCTCAGGCTCCAGCACGCCGCCTGGGCCTCCCCAAGGGCAGCGCGTCCTAGGTGGGAGGGACAGAGGATGCGGCCAGGCCGGACTGGACTAGATCGAAGTCCTTCTCGCCTCCTCCCTGCGGCCGGATGGAGCGCCAGGAGCCGGGGAGGAGCGGGAGGAGGACGGGCCGGAGCCGAGTGGACGCCTGCTGCGGGGCGGGGCGAGGGTCTGAAAGTGCGCGCGGGCCCTTTAAAGGGCTGGGGCGGGAGGGGGCGTGGCGTCCGCTGGGCCCCGCCCACAGAGCTTAGGGGGCCGTACCATCGTGGCTGGAGGCGTGTCCTCGTCGCTGCGGGGCGTGTCGCTGCGCGGCCGGGGGCGTGTCCTCTCGGGTGTTGGGCGTGTCGCTGCGCGGCCGGGGGCGTGTCCTCGCCGCTGGGGGCGTGCCCTGGCCCTGGGGGCGTGGCCGGGCGCTCCGCCCTCGGCCGCGGAGGGAGGGAGGCAGGGAGGCAGGGAGGGAGGGTAGCTGGCGGCGGCGGCGGCGGCGGGAGCAGCATGGACTGGGGCACCGAGTTATGGGTGAGTCCCGACACGGCCTTTCTCCAAGTTTCCCGGGCGCGACTTCAGGCTTTCCCACCTCCTCTTTGCTTCCCAGGCTGGATTTGGGGGGATGGTGGTGGTGGGGTAGGACACCCACCCGTTCCTCTTGCACCCCCCGGAGTCACTCGGGAGTTTTTTGGCGGGGGGTGGGTAGAAGCGAAGGGAGGAGCGGGCGTCTCAGGACCAGTATCCCTCACCCATAACATGGCGGGAGCGGCGGTCTGGGGGTAAACTGAGGCACGGGGCTGGCCCAGACTCCCAAGGAAAGGACCAGGCCCTGGGGCGGCCGGGCGAGGTCACCTATTTTTGGGCACCCGGGCCCGGCCGTGCGGCTTATCTTACGGCCCCTGGGCTCCTGCCCGCCGCGGCTGCTGCCGCCCTGCTGTGTGTGGAGGGCAGGGAGGAGGAGGGGACCCTCTGGCCACCCCTTTCCCCCCACGTGGGACGTACAAGGGCCGCCCCAGCACCTCCCAGCTGCCTCTGATGAGCACCCCGGGGGCGTTGAGAGCCAGGGGAACCCAGGGCGGGGCTGCCCGCACCCCACACCCTTGCCCTGTTGGAACCTGGGGCCCTGAAAGCCCCCGGGATTCCCTCCCTGCCTAAGACTGTCCTATCCCGACCTCCGACCCTATGCCCTCTCTGGTCAGTCCCAGCCCGCCCGCCTCCTCCTCCTCCTCCTCCTCCTCTTCCTTCCAGAGCTAGGAAGGGGAAACTGAGGCACGCACAGTGGTGGTGCTGGTAGTGGGGGTGGGTGTGGGCAGAGGACGTGGCTGTTCGGGTAACCCCCCCCAACACCGGCCTCTCAAGAGTTTAAGGGGGGACCCCACGAACTGCCAGAGATCGTGTCCTCCTGACTCACGCTGGGCAGGCCGGATTTTCCGGAATCTAGGGGGGATTAGGGGAGCCGGGGCGGAGGAGGGTGGTGGTTGTTGGGGGGTGGCGGCCGGCAAATGGCTTTGCGTCCCTCTTCCCTGCCCTCCCAGCCTTCTGGGCCAGCTAGGAGGCGTGCACATGGAGACCCCATCGTCCTGTAGGGGCCCCCCGGGTGGTGGCTCTGGCCCTTCCCGGGAAAGGGAGGGGGGGTTCCCGCCAGTTTCCTGCCTTCCCCCCCATCCCCTCCCCGCCCCGTGCGTTGTCTCCGGGGCGGCGCCTGGAAGCCACTCCTCCCGGGGCCAGCCGGCCGGCCTGCGGGGGCCATGGAGTGCACAGGTCTGCGGTGGATCCCGAGGGGTCCCCCAGGCCCTGACCTGGCTCTCTCCCCACCACCCCGCCCCGTCCCTGACACCCCCAGGACCAGTTTGAGGTCCTGGAGCGCCACACGCAGTGGGGGCTGGACCTGCTGGACAGATACGTGAAGTTTGTTCGGGAGCGCTCGGAGGTGGAGCAGGCCTATGCTAAGCAGCTGCGGTGAGGCCCCCCACCCCCCACCCCCCCGCAGCAGGGGGCAGGGGAGACCCCCGGGGTGCAGCCTGGAGGAGCTGGGGGGGTTGCTCAGCCTGCCACCTCCGTTGTCTACCTTCCGCCCCCCCTTAGGAACCTGGTGAAGAAATACTTGCCCAAGCGACTTCCCAAAGATGACCCCGAGGCCAAGTAAGGATGAGGACTTGGGGTACAGAGCTGGGCCCTGGGGAGGGGTGTGGGGGACCCTCCAGGTTGGAGTCCTGGTCCAGCTGCTGCTGGTCCCTGCGGGTTACAGAGCAAGTGGCCTTGAACCAGGGAGTGGGGTGGGGTGAGAGGAGTGGACTCTTCCAAGCCTTGGTTTGTCTCATGTGCGAAGTGGGTGCCAGGCCTGGCTGAGAGATGGCGTGAGGTCACTCCCTATGCTGTCATGGCCCCGCCCGTCCCCCTGCCCTCCTCCACACGATTCCAAGTCCCTCCTCAATTGCCCAAATCCAAAGCAGTTCTTGGAATCAGAAAAGTTTGCTAAGTCACTGGCAGCTAGGAGCAACTTGGAGTTGTCCAAGTCACCTGTGGGGTAGACAGACCCTGCCCCGTGTGCACCTGCTGTTCCCTGAGTGACACATTGTAAACCATCACTGCCCACCTGGGCTGGATGACAGGTGAACACTACCCGTCTCAAGGGGGCAGTGATGGAGGGAGGGAGAGAGAGGATGCTCCCATCTGTGCTGGTTGTACGAGCCCTGCCCTGGGCCAGGCTGGGTTTCTCACGTTGAGAGGGTAGGGACCCCAAGCCCTTAGTGGTCCCCTGCTGCCTGCCTCCCTGGTGGGCATGTGCAGGCACGATTTGGACGCTGGCCATGTCCTTAGTCCTCGGACACCCGCAGCCCGCCGGACGAGGTGTCTAAGCCCCCTGTTGATGGCCTGCTTTCTAAAACTTGCGGAATTCCGCAGCGCACCTGTTACAGCCTGGAGTGGTGCTGGAGGGCAGTCAGGGTTACAGAGCAGAACCCCATCTCTGCTTCGGGGTTGCGTGGTGGTGCTGGGGGGCTGTGGTGGTGGCCCCCGGGGGACCTCTTCATCCCTCCCCCCCCACGCCCCCAGGTTCAGCCAGCAGCAATCCTTCGTACAGATCCTTCAGGAAGTTAACGACTTTGCCGGCCAGCGGGAGCTGGTGGCTGAAAACCTCAGTCTGCGCGTGTGCCTCGAGCTGGCCAAGTACTCGCAGGAGATGAAGCAGGAGCGCAAGATGGTGAGGTGTTGGGGTGCGAGGGGGGCGCTGGCTGAGGGTCCCCCTTTCCACCCAGCAAGCCCCGCAGCGCATGCGCGCGCGCCTCACCGCGCTGGTCTTTGCGCAGCACTTCCAGGAAGGCCGGCGGGCCCAGCAGCAGCTGGAGAACGGCTTGAAACAGCTGGAGAACGTAAGAGGCAGGCAGGGCGGTGGGTGGGATTTCCTGTCCTCCCCGGGGGTCCTCCCCAACTTGGCCTGCCAGAGGTGGGGGTCCACTGGCAGCCCCTTCAGGCCGCGCTGTTCTGGCTTCTACCCCAGAGCAAGCGCAAGTTCGAGCGAGACTGTCGGGAGGCGGAGAAGGCGGCCCAGACGGCCGAGCGCCTGGACCAGGACATCAACGCCACCAAGGCCGACGTGGAGAAGGTGCGTGCGCTATGCGCGTGCCTGCGTGTGTGCCTCTGTTGTATAGGGGCATGGGGGGGGGGGGCGGGTCGGCAGGGCCGACTGGGCGCCTGGGTGGGCTTTGGCTGGCCGGCCACTCAACCACCCGACACCCCACCGTCCCCCTGTGCCCTCTTAGGCCAAGCAGCAGGCCCATCTGCGGAGTCACATGGCCGAGGAAAGCAAGAATGAGTACGCCGCTCAGCTGCAGCGCTTCAACCGCGAGCAAGCTCACTTCTACTTCTCGCAGATGCCCCAGGTCTTCGATGTGAGAGCCACCGCCAAGCGCCATCACCCACACACACCCCAGCCAGCTCCTACACCTCCCGCAGAACCCCAGCCCCTAGACCCAAAGGCAACATACTAGCAACGAGCCAGCTTGTTCCCCTAAGTCCAAGCTCCTACCACGTGGGGAAGAAATCTGATTTGTCCCTCCACAGCTGCCCCCTCCCCTTTATCTAGCCGTGTTGACTCTCCTAGGGGCCCAGGGAGGGTCTTCCCCGGGTCTGCTCCCACCGTTGGAATCTGTTTGTTTGCCTTTGGGGCTTGGGGGTGGGGCCGGCTTGAGGAGCAGCCTCGTGTTTGCGGAGTGAGTCACCCCTACCCCT